CTCCTCTGATGCTGCTTGGCCTGCTGTGTTCATCCAGCTCTATACCTTGTTATCTCAGATTCTCCAGCATCTGCAGTTCCTACTATCTCTGAACCAATGTGCAGTCTGTCTGTTTTCCAACCAAAAGCAACAATGAAGGAGAAATCCGGAATATTGAGTGTAGAGCAGCATTGCAAAATGCAGACTTTGAAGTGAGAGCCAAATTGCAGCTTTTTATCAATGCACAATAGATCAACGTACATTTTTTTCTCAGTCACATATATTTTCCATCGCAACAACTTAAGTAAGCTTTCTGGCACTCTATTTGAAATGACCTGGAAGCAATGCTATTTTATTTAATTGAAAGACTAATGTTTGCTATTCATTCATCAGTGGTGAGATTAAGGCTCACCTTATACCTTAATTTTATTTCCCATTATTGATGTAACTACATTGCTTGTACCTGGAGTCACATGTTGGCCAGGGCAAGGTAGGACAGCAGATTCCTTCCCTAAAGGACATTAGTGAACCAGGTAGATTTATGACAATCAGTGATAGTTGTTGTGGTCACCGTTGCCTAGACTAACATTATATGTTCAAGATTTTGTATTCATTGAAATCAAACTTCATACTGCCGTGGTGAGATTTGAACTATGTCCACAAAACAATTATTATTCCAGTGACATTGCCATGGCACCACTATTTCCCTATCTGCACTTCCCTAACACAGGTATCCTGCAGAGGTTTATGGACTTGTAAAATCCTTGTATGATGGACAACTAATTTACAGCAGGGTTTTTGGAGTGTGTGCGTTCATGGTAGTGAAATGTAAGAGGCACAGATGTTTAAACTGAGGCAGCTGTTGGAGAAAGACTCGGGGCAAGTGGAGCACTGATGTTGTAGAGTTGCTGTTGAGAACAAGGAACGTGCAATCAGCCTGGATTGACAGTAACCGTATAAAGGGTATGCTGCTCTTCATAGATATATGTACACTAAAGATATAGATTTTTTAATATCTGTGACAATACTTCTGTGAGATCCCCATATACGAAAACATGCACACCAACAGCTTGCATTTACTTAGGAGGAAAACATTCCATGATGCTTCCCAGGAATGTAGTTGGACAAAAGTTGGCCCCAAACGTATGGAGACAATAAACTAAATATTTATGTTTAAAATGTAAACACGTATTTATGCATTGCCTTTCATGATCTCATGATGTTCCAAAGTACTTTATAGCCAATGAAGTACTTTTGAACTTTCGGCCTTGATGCAGAGTGGTAAATGCAATTGTCTATTTGCGCACAGAAAACTCACTTAAACTGTAACATCATTATGATCTGATGAGAATCCTCCTAATGTTGACTGGGGGATTAATATTGGTCAGGATACATGTAGCTTCTTCGGAACAGTGCCATGGGATCTTTTACACTCACCAAAGAAAATATAAGGTGGACCATGACTTAACATCTCTTTGGACAGTGCAGCACCCCCTCAACACTGCATGGAGTGTTACTGTAGATTTTTGTAGGACAGAAGTCTGAAAGCTGGATAAAGGAGCACATTTTAAAGCCCTTCTTCCAGCAATTTCACAGTTTAGGGCTGAAGATGGCTGAAGACATTTTCAGCAATTTGGAGCAAAGACATGGTACAAGAGACCATAGTTGGGGCTGCCTTTCGTAAGAAATAAATTAGTCCAGACAGCTCACCATTGCAGCAAATGGCTTTGGGAGGGTCTTTTTACAAATACACATAAGTGTGAAGGAACTCTTGATTTATTTGTCCAAACTTCCATTTTGATCCATTTGCAGGCTATGTGGACGTGGGCCTGATTCCTGAAGGAGCACGAGATATCCGGGTGGAAGAAATAGCTGAAGCAGGGAATTTCTTGGCTTTGCGAAGTGAAGATCCAGAGAAATATTTCCTCAATGGTGGTTTTATTATCCAGTGGAATGGAGACTACAAAGCAGCAGGAACAACATTTAAGTATGAAAGAAATGGGAATCTGGAAAATCTAACAGCTCCAGGACCCACAAAAGAACCTGTCTGGATTCAGGTAACTCATTCTTCAGAAACGTAGAACATGTTCAGTTTTTGTTAGTATTCAAAAGATAAAAGCATGGTATTATCGTCACTAGCTTTGTGTTTGAAGGGAGAGTAAAAATGCTTTGCAGGGTCTGAGACGATTCCTGGGATCATCCAAGGAAATGTAATATTTCTTCATGTAGACAAATGCTAGATTTAAGATGGATCAAATGTAAAGGTGGGTTGATCAATCCTGTTGTCACTGTACTGCATCATCAGAAGACTAACAATGAATGTCTTTTTTTTTCCTTTTTGTATTTAGAAAATGGGCTTTAGTGATTTAAAGGAAAATGCATTAGTGCATTTACCCTATACATCAACCTCTGCTTGATTTTTCTTTACATAGACTTCATCCTGGCTAATCAGGCAAAATGTGTGATAGTTACCAAAGGTGCAAAACCCTGATTTAAAATACCGTTCAAAATTCCATACGCATCTATGAATGATCTTTGCCATCAAAAATGTAAAAATAAATAAATTGTACTTACGTAGAACTTTTCAGATTCTAGAGATGTCCAAATGCATTTCACAGGTAATGTTTTACGTTCTGGTGGTGTCAATGTGTGTGGTTTGTTTATTGAAAAATGTAGGTTAACAGCTACCTCTTTAAGCTACACATTCAAATGCATATGACAAAGTCATTGCCTGTGTGACATATGAGTACAAAGGAGTTTGAGCTCCCGTATGCGAGGGGAAAGATTTACAAAGGACCTTAGGGGCAACCTTTTCATGCAAAGGTTGGTGCGTCTTGGAATAAGCTGCCAGAGGAAGTGGTGGAAGCTGGCACGATTACAACTTTTGAAAGGCATCTGGATGAGTACATGAATAGGAAGGGTTTAGAGGGATATGCTAAATGCTAAATAGAGCCAAATGCTAACAAATGGTACTAGACTAATTTAGGATATCTGGTCAACATCAGCATGTTGGATCAAAGGGCCTGTTTCTGTGCTGTACAACTCTATGACTCTATGATATACAAAAAGTGAGATATGCGTACTTTAAATTCAAAACTCTACATCACATAATAGTAATACACAGAGGTTCCAAATCACCACCCACAAAAGTATACGGACCAATATTGACCAAGTGGTCTTTTCAGGCTTCATTGATTTCATGCAATAAAATTGAAAAAAGAAAGAAATGTAAGTATTTGCATTTAATATGCACATTGCCCTAAATTTTTTAAACATTCATAATGTGTATTTCATGGCCAGTAAACCTGATCTGACATATTATGAGTTTTGCTACTGCACACCAGAGTTTCCTTTCCGCAGCATCGACCTTGGATAATAGAGCAGAATGTGTAACTCCAGTTGATCAATGTTGTCTATTTTACTCCTCTACTAAGGTACCACCCATTCTGTTTAAAGAATTGCAGTAGCTCATGTATGAAGCCTTCACTTGAAGCATGCATGAGTGAATTTGTCTCTGGAAACGCTTTCACATTTAAATAAGAACATATTTTTGTCCCTTGTGCTTTTTAAATATTTTGTGAATTTTAATGTACTTACATAACGATGTGCTTATTACAATCTCAGAAAGATTGGTAATATTTTAATTTAGAATTAGCCCTAAAGACTTGAAACAATAGGATTTTTTTAACACTTTCTGACTGCTCTCTTCATTCACAGGAAATTTTGTTCTTCAACATACACACAAGTGGAAATGGTTAGCTGCTTCATTCTGGTTATTGTTTGAGATCAGTGGTGAAGCCAGTGCTTGCTGCTGACTGCAAAGTAAATCTTTCTGAGGCATCTCGTGATCTCTCTACTGAGGATTTCACCTCTATCTGTGTGCAGTGATACTGCAACTAATTGTAGCCTTTACTGAGCATTCATGGCGTATAGTAGCAGTGAGCTTATTAGATGGTCCAAGCACATTGAAAGATTTCAGGCATCCAATCAGGAAAGAAAAAGCAATGAAACAAAAATACATTTAAAATAGCTTACTCAGAGGGAATTACAGATTTGGACATACACATTAGAAGAAGGCAGATGGTAAAGTCTCCTTAAACAAAGATTTTAAAAACAAAACAATTGTGATTAAGAAGAATTAGCTCTACTAATTAACAATTTAGCAGAACACCTCAGTATGAACTGAAAACAGAAAATGCTGCAGAATCTAAACAGGCTTGGCAGTGTCTTTTTTTTCTAATATTCATTCGTGGAATGTGGGTGTCACTGGCCAGGCCAATATTTTTTGCCCATCCCTAATTGCTCAGACAGTCAGCCACATTGCTGTGGGTCACCTATAGGCCAGACTGGGTAAGGATGGCAGATTTCCTTCCCTAAAGTATCGTAGTGAGCCCGATGAGTTTTTTCTGACAATCAGCAATGGTTTTATGGTCATTATTAGAATCCATTATTAGTCCAATATGACTCTTCTTTAGAATTCCATAAATAAACATATTACTGTTAAAGCTCAGTTACATCTGATTGCAGAAAGATGAACTTTTTGAAGGGTTTGAAATGACATTATGGGAGAGGGACAGTTGGAAATCTTGCTGATAGCTTGATTTCCTGGTGTACGGATGAGAGCAGAGTGATTAAAGCAGAACGTGCTAAACAGACTCAGCAGGTTTGGCAACATCTCTGCTAAATTTAGTTATCGTTTGAAATTGACTCTTCTTTGGAACCTGGCTGAACCCCACAGCCCATCCATCTTATGGAGCCTCGAGTAACCACACCAACTTGAACTGGCAAGACCCGAATTGAACACAGTATTCCAAAAGTGGCCTAACTAGTGTCCTGTACAACTGCAATATGACCTCCCAACTCCTACGCTCAATGCACTGACAAATAAAGGCAAGTGTGCCAAATGCCTGCTCCACTGCCATGTCTGCCTCTCTCTCCATTTTTAAGGAATTGTGAACCTGCACCCCAAGGTTTCTTTTTTTCAGCAACACTCCCCAGGATTTTACCATTAGTTGTATAAGTCCTGCCTTGATTTGTCCTACCAAAAGGCAGCACCTCATGTTTATCTAAGTTAAACTCCATCTGCCACTCCTTGTCCCATTTAGCCATACGATCAAGGTTCTAAATAAAAGCCGAAAGAACTGCAGATGCTGTAAATCAGGGGAAAAAAAAACAGAAGCCATTGGAAAAGCTCTGCAGGTCTGGCAGTATCTGTGAAGAAAAAATCAAAGTTGATGTTTCAGGTCTGGTGACCCTTCAAGGTTCTCTTCTACTCTGAGGTAACCACTGTCGACTACACCACCAATTTTGGTGTCATCTGCAAACTTACTAACCATATCTCCTATATTCATTTCCAAATCATTGAAATAAATGATGAAAAACAATGAACCCAGCACCAATCCTTGTAGTACACCACTGGTCACAGCCTCCAGTCCAAAAAGCAACTCTCCATCACCGCCGTTTGTCTCCTACCTTCGAGCCAATTTTGTATCCAAATGGCTCACACCCCCTAGATTCCATGTGATCTAAATTTGCTAACCAGTGTACCATGCGGAACCTTGTCGAATGCCTCACTGAAGTCCATTTAGACAATGTCTATATCTGACTGTTCAACTCACCCAGACCCTGATGTCCTCCTCCAACCCTCGCTGAATAACAATGGTCCCTGATCTCACTTGTCTGGCCTCCAATCTGACAGCTCATCCTAATCCCCCTGCCCATTATACCAAACTACCACCTCATCCATCTACCACCTCACCCATCTACCATCTCAACGAAATGCCATCCAATGCACTCAATACCCTACACAAACGCCACTCTATCCAGCTAGAACTTTACCCAGAACTATCTGTCATCCCACCCGCCTGCCACTTTAGCAACCTACCACCTGACCCAACTGAAGATAAGAACATAAAAAGTAGGAGCAGAAATAGGTCCTTGAGCCCTTTCAGCGAGATCATGGCTGGTTTTCTACTTCAACATATTTTCCTGCATATTTTCTATATGGTGTCTGTGGCATAGCAGTGATGTCACTGGACTAAGAATCCAGAACTCCATGTTAATGTTCTGGGGCCTTGCTGATAACTACTGTCCTTTAGGGAAGGAAATCTACCATCCTTACCTAGTCTGATTCTAAACTCACACAAATGCATGTGACATTTAACTGCCCTCTGGGCAATTAGGGTTGGACAATAAATGCTGTCCTAGTCAAGGAGAGCCAGGCCCCATGATTTTTCTTTACAATAAGTCCCATTTTCAGTATTTTTGATAAGTAGAAATTTACCAATCTCAGAGTTGATCATATTCGATGACTGAGCCTCCACTGCCCTCTGGAACAGAAAACTCCAAAGATCCACCACCGTTGTTATGGACCAGACCAGATGCCCTCAAAATATTTTAAGAATCTAGCCTAACTGTTTCTTATTTTAAAGGCAAATGTAAAGTGCTGTGTTCCACATGCAATTTGATTGGTCAAACTACTCAATGTTAAGCAAAACACAATTTATTCAAACACTGTAGTTAGAATAAAGCAAAAGAAAGAAGAACTTAGAATAACTCATTGGGCAACCTCTATATTTCAGGAATTAGTTTAGTGAATCTTCATTGCGCTCCCTCCATAGCAAGTGCCTTGTTTTGGAGTAGATTTGTTTTGTGTCTTGTTTCTTAGGTAAGGGGTTGGATGGTCACTTAGGACTGGGGTGACTAAATATTTGTTCATTCAAAGGGTATTAAATCTGTGGAATTCTCTACCACAGAACACTGAACATATTCAAGAAAGTGAGATATAAATTTTAGATGTTAAAGGCATCTATAGGATTTGGGGAGAAAGCAGGAATGTATCGTTGAGAGAGAATCAGCCGTGATCATGTTGAAGAGTGGAACAGACTTAAGAGCCGAATGGCCTGCCATGCTGCTAGTTTTCTCTGTATTTATGAGACCAAAACTGCACATAATATTCCAATGTGGTCTTGGCAATACTCTTTGTAAATGTAGTGAGAAATCTTTACTCTAAATTCCCTTGTAACAAATGCGAACATACCACTTGCCTTCTCATTTACTTTCTATACCTGTATGTTAGATGCCACATAACCTACCCAACACCTTGAAGTACAGTCATTTATCCCACTGGGCTAGAAAATCCAGGTTTAAGTCCCACCTGTCCCAAAGGTGTGTCTGAACAGATTGATTAAAATAAATTTAAATACATTACGTTAATGATTTGGATGAAGGAATAGAACATAATATCCCCAAATTTGCAGACAGCACTAAGCTGGGTGGCAGTATGTGCTGTGAGGAGGATGCTAAGATGCTGCAGGGTAACTTGGACAAGCTGGCTGAGTTGGCAAATACATGGTAAATGCTGTATAATTTGGATAAATTTGAAATTATCCACTTTGGTGGCAAAAACAGGAAGGCAGATTATGATCTGAATGGTGGCAGTTTAGGAAAAGATGAGGTGCAATGAGACCTGGATGTCATGTTGGAATAGTTGCTGAAGGTTGGCATGCATCAAGGGCAACTAGAGATGGGCAAGAAATGCTGGCCAGCCAGCGATGCCCACATTCCACAAATGAGAAGGGAAAAAAAGGTGCAGAAGGCAGTGAGGAAAGCTAATGGCAAGCTGACCTTCATCGTGACAGGATTTGAGTATCGGAGAAAGAATGTCTTGCTGCAGCTATACAGGCCTTGGTGAGGGCACACCTTGAGTATTATCTGTAGTTTTGGTCTCTTAGTCTGAGGAAGGACATTCTTGCTATTGAGGCAATCCACCAAAGACTTACTGGAGTGATTCTTGGGATGGCAGGACTGACATATGAGGAAAGACTGAATCGACTGGGCTTGTATGCACTGAAATTTAGAAGAATGAGGGGGGATCTCATCAAAATATATAAAATCCCAATTAGGCCATACAGGCCAGATGCAGGAAGAACATTCCCAATGTTGGGAAGCCCAGAACTAGGGGTCACAGTCTAAGAATAAGGGGTAAACCATTCAGGACTGAGATGATGAAGAATTTCTTCACTTAGAGAGTTGTGAACCCATGGAATTCTCTACCACAGAAAGCTGTTGGGGCCAGTTCATTAGGTTTATTCAAGAGAGAGCTGGACGTGGCCCTTGCTGCTAAAGAGATCAAGGGGTATGGGAAGAGGGTGGGAGTGCGATACTGAAATTGCATGATCAGCCAGGATCATATTGAATGGTGGTGCTAGCTCAAAGGGCCAAATGGCCTACACCTGCACCTATTTTCTATGTTTCTAAATACTCAACTAGTGTCTGACCAATCACCAGCCTACCACCTTGCCTGGTTTACTCGCAGCCATAGCTGCCCTACCTCTGGTAAATATGCTCTGGGTTCTGGTCTCACTAAATGTAAATCCTTGCAAATTGCCTATGGCAGACAGTATGAGTGGTAGAGTTTTCTGATCAGTCAGGATCATGTCGTAGCTGCAGGACATCAACCTCTGCACATTACAAGACCCTATATTTATTCACTGACACACTGAAAAGCCATTCAAATGTCCCAAAACTTTTCGGTGTGATCGTGAATTCATTTATCAGAATACGGAAGTCAGTGGTGTGAAAAGAGAAATTTTCTTGGCTCAGTATTGCATCACACAATGAGATATTTTACAAATCTTGGATTCCTTTTACATGTTCAGTCTTGAGGAATTTATGGAACAATTCATAAATAGTTGACACTTTATCATCATAATTTGTACAACAGAGCTTTACTTCCCTTGGATAACATGACTAAGGTCAAAAACTCACCCTCTATGGAATAATAAGTGTCCATGTACAATCTTGCTAACAGCATCTAGGAATTTGATTGCACAGGATCACCTTTGCTTTGGTTCTTTATGAACAGATGGTGATATAATTAGTCTTATTGAATTAATAAGCTATCTATTACTCAGCATGAATTTATACTTTTGTATCAACATATTATAGAATGATTCTGCAATTCAGACTGAAATAAAACACAGAGTTAGATTCAATGACAAGCAGATTGGGAAGAAGTTGGAAAGTAAAATTCAATACTTGCTGTATGCTCACTGCCTACCGATCCACGCCTCCTCTTCCTGAAAACTAAACCTGTGGCAGATGCACATGCACTAATTGATGTCTTAAGTGGCCAATTAATGCCCAAGTAAAGGCCTTATGCAGCTGACCCTGGGTTTTAACCTGACATTGAGGCGTTGAATAGCCATAATAGAGAAAGTTGGGGCCCGCTTGACAAAACTGAGGAGAGATTAGACAAACTTGGTTTGTTTTCACTTGGACATCGAACCATGAGGGGCTGCCTGATAGAAGTTTACAAACTTATGAGATGCATTGATAGAATAAATAGTTGGAGTTTTTTTTCCCAGGGTAGAAATGTCAATTACCAGGGGGCAAAGGTTTAAGGTAAAGCGGGGATAATATTAAAGTACATGTGAGTCAAAGATTTTTACACAGAGGGTGGTAAGTCATGGAATGTGCTGCCAGAAGGGGTGGCAGAGGTGAATACAACATTTAGGAAGCATCTTGACAGATGCATGAATAGACAGGGATTGGAAGGATATGGACCTTGTAGACGCAAAGGCTTTTTATTTTAGAATGACGTCAAGTGTCGGCACAGGCTTGGTGGGCCAAAGGGCCTGTTCTTGTGTTGTTCTTTGTTCAAGAGGCATCTTGATAAATACTTGGCTAGGCTTGGGGAGGCGATGGCCTGATAGTATCATTGCTGGACAGTTAATCCAGAAACTGATGTTCTGGGTACCATGTTTCAAATCCTGCCACGACAGATGGTGGAATTTGTATTTAATAATAAGTATCTGGAATTTAGAGTGTAATGATGACCATGAATCCATTGTCGATTGTTGGAAAAACCCATCTGGTTCACTAATGTCCTTTAGGGAAGGAAACTGCCATCCTTACCCAGTCTGGCCTACATGTGACTCCAGACCCACAGCAACATGTTTGACTCTGAACTGCCCTCTGGGCACTTAGGGAT